CCACCACCATCACCTCACCAGAAATCAACACTCACACACCTCATGCACCCAACTGCCACCTCCCACGCAAGTGGGAAGTCCACATCTCGACTCGGTCCCCATTCGGCTTCGGCTGCACGGATTACTTGAGTCCGAGACTATCCGGACACGTCAAGCGTCGTGGATAGGAAGGTTGCTGATAGACGCCCGCTCTCGGCTCACGCAGTTCGTCGCGTTGTGTGTGTGTGTGTGTGTGTTGTGTGGAGTGGCGGACTGGTGGGCTGGGGTCGGGCTGAAGCTGCACCTTCCACGGCCCTCTCACGCAAGTGAGAGACATGCCGTTCAACCCCCGTTGTGTGAAATCCTGGTGTTGTGTGTGTATGGGGGGCCAGGTCGTGCCGTGGCGCGCGCAGTCATGGTCAGTCGACCATGACAGCCACCGCGCCCATTCCCCACTCCAGTCTGCTGACCGGCTCGGACATCGGCTGGGGTGTGGGAGTGGGAAGGGAGAGTGAGGTCGACGACTCAGCGCATCTTCCTCACTATAAACAATCTGACGCGCTTGAAGCTATCACGGTGCGCTAAAAGCCGTGGCTTGGAAGGTTGCCAACTGACGGGGTACCTTGGACCTCCTCCTTGATTGGAGGCGGTCTGAGAGTCAGGCTGCAATGGCTCCTTTTTAATGTGTTCTTTATGGCACTCCCACCACAGTGTGGGATCCGAGCCAGGCGTTGGCGGTACGCCTAGGTGTGGCTTCGGCCGTGCCAGCCTCCAAATCTCTGTTGTTGGTTGAAATCCTCGTTATTGTTGTGTGGACCAGGGGGTGCGGAGTGGAGCACCAAGGCGAGGATCCGTCCGAGCCATCCACCTGCGGCCTCCCTCGTCTCCGGTCTTCTTGACTCTGTCTTGACACCGGGCTCGGGCGAAGGAGGAGGAGGAGGAGGAGGAGGAGAGAGTGTAGGTAGATGCAGCGCAAGTCTACTGGCACTATAAACCCCTGCGTAAGTCTCCGTCCCTGCTCCCACCGCTGCTGCGACTGTGGGGCACACGGTGGACATCATCGAAACCAATGGTCGAACTGTAAAGCGGGAGATTAGCGGCTGAATGACGCACGATGCCAGATGGCTAAATGCTACAGGCGTCTTTTGACTCGGTTTATCCCCCCGTTACATCCGCTCGTTATATGCTGAATTATTTCAAGTCGAGATATTTTAACCTACGAGGCAGTTGCCTTCTTCTCTGAAAAGTACTGTTATCGGAGTGGAGAAATGATGAAAAATGACATACGACAGGCGAATGTTAATGTTGGTTAAGACTTGGCGAATAAACACCTGAAGGCTGTCGAGCATCCGCATTACAGTCCCATATGCGGAGTTTCCAATAGGTGAGAGCATATTCGGCGGCATTATTTTATGCTGCATATCTGTCTGTCCATTATCTGGACGATGGTGTTCGCATTAAAGTTGATCATCTCACTCTGCCTGCTACTAATATGCAAAACGTACAGTTTGCAGTCATTTAGTTGTCGTAATTCCTCCTTCTGGTTCCCCTCAGCAATTATGACTTGACGAACTCGTTCTTAGCACTCATCTGCAAATGCAACTACCCTAAATCGCCTTTCTCATTTAATTCGACAATTCACCGTGGAATAATTTAAGTAGGCAAGGATTTTTATATGATCCTCTCTGGCTGGACACGGGAGAAGAAGCTCACGTAGCTTTTGCGCTATATTTCAACAAAATTATTGACAGGGTCAGGTTGATACATAGTGTTTTTGATAAAGTATGGTTAGGATTACGGTCAGCTTTATGGTCGAGGTTAGGATAAGCGTTAATGTTGGGGTTGACGTTAGGGTTAGGATGCGGGGATATGTACCCTTCCAGGAATTTAATGCTGGGTTTCGTATATTAGTACGGGGGTTTTCCTATTCCAGTGTCCTCGCCTTCCAACAGCCTGACTAGACGTTTTTACTTTATGCTGATCAGATCCCCTCTGCCTCGTTTAGTCCGACCAATGTTCATGCCACCTCTAACGACGTCTTCCAGTAAATATAAACAATCTTCAATTAAAAAGACGACTTCTTAACTCATTTTGTTTTTCGTAGTCATTCGGGTTTCCTAACACCTCACCCGAGGGGGCAGCGCCTGCAGAAAGGCATTACGTGTCGTTGTCAGGGTCTCGTGTAGTCGCGCATCATAAGGACAAATGAGATGGAGCCGACAAAGGCAAGGGAGACCGGAATGGCCATTTCTGGCTTATTAGCCGTCATCAGCCAGTCATACCCAACCCCAAGTGTGGATCACTTGAGATTCGAACACGGCATCTTTGGTCATGGAGTTTGACACTCTACCATTGAACCACGGGCCCGTTGTCCCGGCGGTTGTGATCGGGAATATCAATTATGACAGTGGGCGCTCACCGATCAGGTTACGAAAAATGCTCGTTCCATTGTGCCTTTGGGGCTCATATTAGAACCCTCGCAGGCAATCGCACAGTGACTAATAGTAGTAGAGTTTCAAACTCCATGACCAAAGATCCCGGGTTCGAATCTCAAGTGATCCACACTTGGGACAAATATTTTACAAGATTTTTAGTTAAGGGAACTGAGACCTATATTATATCTTGTCACGGACTTGAGATCAAATTCTGTCATTACATGATCGAGTGTTGTGCTAGGCGATGTCCACATGCACATTCGAACTGCGCATGTGTTTGCACATTTACCACGCTGTCCTTACGTCAGCAACGACATGCGCGTCAGTTGCCAGCTTCCTGTTCCTTCCGACCATCTTCCGCGACAATAAATCCATCATTTGTGCTAGATCCCTATCCAGACTTCTTCACCTAAACCGCCGCTATTCACTGATATAAAGTTTTAAATTAATTGACCCTCTGATGTCAACATCCTGCCAGTACTTTGTTAGTGGGAGAAATTAGTGTTGTACATGCTGAGATGCAAATACCGAGGCGCCATTATGACAGCTATTCACTCAGGCTGAGACGCGATATGCCGACGGGTTGTTTCTTCAAATGCCAAAGTGCGAACTGTCTAAGCACTACCGGTGCGGTCTGTACTTAATTCACAGCTAGTGAATTATCGGTGTCTCTATCCAGAAATATGAATAGATATGACGTGATTCAATACCGCCAAAGGACGTTTCACACTGCTCTCAACCTCACGAAGCGTTTTCTCACCCGAGAGTAGTCTTAACAATGCAGGACGGTTAGTTGTCCAAATTGTTCTCATTCGTTGTGCCAGCCAGCCCAACTGCGACACACATATGAGTCAACCTGCCCTAGATGTGGTCCGCAGGCCTGGAAAACGGCATTGTTGTGCCACCCTATCCCCTCCTAGGGGAGGCCGGTGCACATACGATCACAAAGGAACAGATGGGTGGGTGGCGAGCACCCGGTCGTTGGGTGGAGTCACGCGGAGCTGCCGAATAGTTTATTTGTGTGGTGCGAATTCGGGAGTTTGTAAGTGGTTTGAATTTACGCATTTTCTGCCACACCCTTCGGCGCACAGCCAGAGCTGGCACACCACATGGCGGCTGAGCGGTCTGACTAATTCCCAAACAAACACCAAGGTCAGAACTGTTTTGTCAGGTGGATTTTCCTCCAGTAAAGCTGTAGGCGTGCCCTCCATGATGACATCGACCGATGTTGAGTGTATCTTCTGCGTCTTCTTCCACGTGTACGGAGTGTTTTAATTAGGCTTTAAGTGCGAGATATTTAGAGAACAAAATGTGCGACAACAGGTCCGTGGCCAGTAGTAGGAAATATGAGTTAGGTTAGGAATAACGGACGGCGACTAATAAGCGGGTAATTTCCATTTCATTCGTGCTTGCCCCTGTCGACACTCGTCTCCTGCGGTGGCCCTTCGTCTAACATATCCCTTTCTGTGAACGCTACTCGACCACCGGCAAGTCATTGTTCGTGCCTCGATCACGGATATAAAACCGAGTAGGTATCAAGTTTGAAGCAATCATGGCCAACAGGAACAACCTACAGATTACTTTGATGATGGGGACGGGAGAGTTTCCGAAACGTCGGTCCAACTAAACTTCGGCCCATGAACTCGTCCATTCTTCTTTATCTTCTTCAGTGGATGCTGAACACAATGTATGTATGGTAGAGGGGCGCTCACTGATCGTTCTTACGGAACTCGCTCGTTCCGTTGTGCCTTATGGGCTCTCTAGCTCATAAGGCAGGATTGGCCATTCCAGTTTCCCTTGTCTTTGTCGGTAATATCATTCTGCCTATGCAATTTATGTATATTTATTTTGCTGGTGTATTATTGCAGACAGGTGTGTTATGTAAAAAATTGGAAGCGCCCTTTGTCTTAGTTAATACATATATATATATATATTGTTATGACCCGGCCTGGTACTTGAAATCCCGTGGAGAGTATACGCACTTGACCCTTGTCTCCAGTACCAACGCGGCAGAGAAGGAGAACGTGACCGGCCACGAAAATGTGTATTAGGAAATTGCAAGTCAAGATTAACT